TCTGGTTTAGAAGTTGTCTTTGGAAGAGTAGTGTGGCCTGCATTCTAGTGCTGCTGTTGGATTTTTATAAGGGAGGTGCAGGAGCAGCGATCAAAGCTGCAGGGGTTGCTGCCCCTTTCCAGTCTGTTCCTCGCCCCTCTCCCCCAACACTGGCAGGCAGACCATACTGTGGGAGTAGCAGTTTGAGATTTCTTGAAGGCCCCAAAGTAGGTAAGAATTCTCCCCCCCACTCCCCTCCCCCTTGCTCAGAGTCACATCCCCTTCTTCCTCTCCCATTTGCCACTGCCATGGTGTCCCCAGCATCCTGAGTGCATGTGGTGCTGGGCTCAGCCTGGGACAGCAGCAGTGGCAATAGGAGGTCTGGTTTCCCCTCCCTGTGCCTGCTTCCAATCTGGTAGGAAACACCCAGGGGGGTGCGACCAGGTTGGGAAGGGGGAACCTGCTTGTCCACAGCTACTGGTGGTGTGGGCTGAGCCCAACCCCTGGGCAGCCCAGCTGGAGTGGGACAGGAGCTCCCCTCACCCTTGGGACAGTGAGGACACAATAGCAGGTTGGAGAGTGGACATTGAGAGGGAAGGGAACATGCCTCTGAGCATGGGGGGGGGAGGGAAGGGGGCAAGTTCTTATTTTCTTTGGGGACTTCAAGTTCTTGGCTGCTGCTGCTTCTGCCAAGTGATCAGGAAGGGGTGTGTGGTCATGCCACCTCCCTAGATTTGCCCCTAGACAGGTTCACTATCATAAAGTAACTCTTCCATGTAAATCTGTCTGGGTCAAAAGAATTGAACAACTGAACATGGTCATAGTGCTGAAGTTGTGATGTAGCCATGATGGTCCCGGAAATGAGGCAAAACATTTTGTGGATGATTTCTTTTTATTGAATCCCAACCATGCAGTTGGTCAAGTTAGACAAGCTTTTGAATATGACGGTACCATTCTTCACATCTCCCTGTTCTCACTTTTTAAGCTATACCTTGGGACTAGAGTGATAGCTGAAGTTGTAAATTCACCTTTTGCTTCTAGAATATATATATATTTTTGAAAAGCTCAGTTTGGGCTGTGAGTACGGTGGCTTGCCAGCGCTGTCCTAGCAGACATGTCTATGCCACAGTCACCACATGGATCTGCACAGGAGAAACCAGGGAGTAGAAGAGCAAGGATTTCTACAAACGAGTATTGAGGAATGTAAGCAGACCTGAATGGACGAAGGCTACCCAGCATTCCGACTACCCCACACCAGTTCTAAGAGTGCCTCATGGGCATCAAATTTGCAGAATCCCTTTTCCCTTCCCCCTGACAACCCTTTCACCCCAACACATGCCAGGGCAAAGAAAAAAGGCCTCTGACCTCCCCAAGAAGAAAAGTTGCTTGAATCCTAATGCAGACAGTGGCTGATGCTTCATATTGCATCAAATTAAAAATTGCACTTTCTGAAAATGTTTTTAATTAATTGGTGTTACAATAACACCAAAAGTACAAAGAGCTGAGATGTGCGTTTAAAAACATTTTTACTCCCACTCTTTTTTCTTTTGAGTTGTTTCCTTTTGTGTAGTTAATTAACTTTTTGTGTCATGTCTATATGGGAATGCACAGGAAGGTTGAAGCAAACTTTTAATGTACATGCTTGGTCTTCACACCTTTTATTAACGTGCATCAAGCCCTTATCAAGCATGTGCTCGCATTCAGGAGTAAAATGTTTTTCATTTGCTGTAACTGAAGCCCCACATTATGTGTGGATTTTTTTCTCAGCAGTGGAGGGAGAGGGCTATTGTTACATCCCGCTGCAAAAACCACATATGGCCAACGTTTGGAGGCAGGGGCAGGACCTGAAACCACTATTTGATTTAATTTAATAAAATAGATTTTTCAAGAGAGAGTTTCCCTTGAAATATTTGGAGGTGATTACTCAAGGATGTTCCAGGCCACTTGAGTATCAGGAATTCTTATCTCAGTTACCCAGAGTTTATACTAGGGCTGTGTGAAGTGGCACTGTTCCGTTTCAGCTCGAGTTTTGAGGTTTGGACAGAAGAGCATTTTGTTTTGCATTTCATTTTGAGTCGAAACAGCTGTTCCATTTCGCTTGGTTGAAACTGAGACTGTTTTGACATTTCACCCATTGGCTATAATTAGGATGCTCAAAACAGCCTTTCTTATCTGGCAGGCAGATTGGGGCCCAACCCTAGGAGGGCTGCCAGGGCTGTGCAAGTCCTCCTGGGGCTGAGGGCCCCCGATCTGCGTGACAGATGAGGGAGGGAAGCCGGTGCTGCCTCCTGGGACTGGGAAAGGGAACTGAGCCCAATTATGCTCAGTTCCCCTCCCCAGCACAACGATCACCAGCTGAGGTTGGAATTCAGCTCAGCTGGGCTGAGTCCATTTTCCCAGTGCAATGGTCTGGGGAACGAAACTGAGCGATCCAGCTCAGTTCCCTTCTCCAGCCCGATTTGCAGCACTGGGGAGGGGAACTGAGCCAGGGCTCATTTCCCTTCCCTTGCGCTGTGATTGGCTTCCCCTGTGGGAGGTGGAGAGAGCCAGGGCTAGGCTTCCTGCCTGGCTGAGCTTGGAGCCACTGGGAGCGCAGCCCTGGTTCTGGCTGGCTGCCCTGGCGGCTGGCTGCTTCGAAACTCGAAACGTTTCGCCTACCCTGGTTTTGTTTCGAGGCTGTTTCAAAGTCCTTCATTTCATTTAGATTTCACTGTTTCAAGCTTGAAATGAGTTGAAACAGTGTCGAAATGAAACGGCTGGTGAAATTTTGTACAGCCCTAGTCTATACCTAAAGATTACAAGTCTTATCTGCCGTACTGTTGTTAATGTCTCCACTGAAAAAGCTGACTCCATGTAGATGGCACTGGCACCCTGCGGTTAAAAGGAGTTGTTGCACAAAGGTGGCAAATACAGAGTAGAATATTCAGACATGGGATAGGCTTAGATGTTAAAGATTCATAGATGTTAGGGTCGGAAGGGACCTCAATAGATCATCGAGTCCGACCCCCTGCATAGGCAGGAAAGAATGCTGGGTTTAGATGACCCCAGCTAGCAGATGTTTGGTCTCACGTCATGTACTTGACTCTACTAGAGTCTTAGCCTTTGTGAAACTTAGGTTGAATGCTGCACCTGAAACATACACTGAATATTGTTGCACAGGCTAAAAATACACCCAGAATTCCTAGTTTCCCGCTGTGTGTTTCGCCACAGCAACTCTATCACAGAAAAAACAATCATCTTAGCAAATTGGTTAGTTACATAGACATCTTGTTAAATACAGCCTGCACTTTCTGGTTCACCCTGTAATCATGAATGGGAAAGCATCTCTCCTAATCAGAACATAACATGGTAAAAGGAGTCCTGGTGTTATGTAAACCTTTTGTTTTCATCCAGGTTATAAATAGGGCAGTTATGTTTGACTTTTGTTGATTTTGCTTTGCTTTGGGGTGGTCTGTTTGCATGTCACAGAGTTGTTGTGTGTGTGTGTGTGTGTGTGTGTGTTTGTTTGTTTCGTGTTTTTTGAATGCAGTAGGGTCAGGACTGGACTGGTGGTTTGCTGAAAGCCAGAACTAGAGAGCTTACACAGTATCAGTTTGCACCCAAGTACAATGGACAGGTGCTGACTAACATTACCATGCAGCAGTCCTTCAGATATTGCAATATGTGTATGCAGGCAGGCTGTGAAACATATCTTGGCATCAGGGATACTTTTTTTTTTTTGTGGCAGTTACTGGTGGGTATTGATGTTTTAGTTGTGTCCACTGCGTGACCTTTTCTAATTGTCAGCCTTACAACTTTGCAGAATTAGATTCGTATGACAAATTGTATTATCTGTGGACATTTGAATATCCAGTTGAAGCCACTCTTCCCCTTGCACCAAGAGACCGAACCCCCAAAACTCCCCCATAATTGTAATCAGAGAGGCAGAAAAAGGCAGTCTCATAATAGAGTGAAGCTGTACAGCAGCTGGGGAGCAGAACTGGGACCTGTGAAGGTGGTACCTGGAAGGTTTTGCTTTAATGGGGAGAAGTGAATAGGGGCAGGTACCATTGTCCTTCCCAAAAGCACAGATCTGGGAGGTGAGAGTTGTCTTACTGGCAAAGAGAGAATTGGATCTAAGAATAGGAAACAAAACTACATATTGAAAAAATCCAATAGGAATATCTTAATTTCCTGCAATGTTGCATACTGCAAGCACTGCAGCATCCTGTTTTAGCATTGCAAGCTAGAAAGGTTGCTAGAAAGCTTCACTTTATAAACAAGTGCAAGTGAGTCTGATTTTGTTATCTGAACTGCTGTGCACATGTATGCCCACTCTTTGAGCAACAGTATTCAATTGCTGTTTTTATTAGGAATTTTAAAAAAATCTGAATGTTTCTTTATAGGGCTGGTGAAGAAGGTATGCTAGATATTTTAACATAACAGGAACTGCAGTTGAAGGGCAAGTGGGCTATTTGAAAGGACCAATTGTTCTTAGTTGACAGTGGACACTAGGTGAAAATAATGGTAAAATGAGAAACAGGTTAGATTGGCTGGGAAGTTTGGGAAAGCATGGCTGAGGTTTAGCCAGGGAGTTTACTCTTGTGGATGATGCACAGAGAAGCAGGAGTTGTGGAGGGAGGGGGAACATTCTCAAGTTTTGGGGTGTTTAGGGAGTCTGTATTGTTGTTTTCTTACCTGGTGGGTTTTATTGTCTATTGTAAGTTGCCCTCAGCCTTTCTAGATAAGGTTGGATATGTGGATAGTGATATTTAATAAGTTCTGGGCTGTTGTTTTAAGGGCATACTTATCAAATATTGTACATTATCTACTGTTGGATATATGGAAAACCCGTTTTTTGTTTTTTGGGGGTTGTTTGTTTGTTTGTTTTGTTTGTTTGTTTGGGGGGGGGTTTGGTGGTGGTTGGTTTTTTTTGGTTACTGGTTGAATCTTAAAGGTTCCAGCATTAAAATGTCTCTTTACAGGGTGCAGCCTAGGGGACTCCATTTCCTTAACATGTTCTTTCTGCATTACCTTAACAGCCAAGGACACTCCTGAGAATGACCTCCAAGGTAGACTTGTTATAAACAGAGTTTTCCATATCAGTGCAGACAAGATGTTTGAAATCCTTTTCACCAATTCCCACTTCATGCAGAGATTTTTCAGTTCCAGGAACATAGTAGGTAATGTATTTTTTTTCTTCCTCGTTTCAGTTCAGGTCAACTTTCTCACCCTTTTTGAAAGAAAATAAGGATCAATATGCTAAAAAAAAAAATGAAGAACCCAAGATCAACAAACTGTCCCAAAAGGACTTGTAAAGAACTAACTCTGCTTTGAAAGAGAAACTAGTCTTATCTTTCTTAAGAAACCAGTCACTTTTCAGAACAGAACCTCACTTCATGGTGTACTATAATGTTACAACAGTGAAGTCCATCACACTAAATTATTTAAATGCTTTGTTTTACTGGTTAGAGAATTGGTTCAATAGCTTAGGAAAATCAGCCTGGTATTTGAGTATTATCAAAATATGCAATTTATGCATAGAATAAACAGCTGCATTATCCTAGATGACGCTTACTGGGTTCTTATTTTCCGGGTGAGGTATGTTTTAGTCACTGAAGGCACGTTTACACATTCATTCATGCGCATTCGTTACTGCACATTTAATTGAGTACTTGTATAATCAAGTACTCAAATGTGCAGTAGCATATTAGCACAGTTTATGTTGTGATGCGCTACTGCACAGTGTTATAAGGTACTGCACATTAAGCATCTCATGTAGATGCACCCTGATATCACAGGAACAGAAAATAAAATCCAAGAGAAAGTAATACTTGTTCAAGGACAAACTTAATCAAAGCAGCAAGAACTTCCAGTAATGCTAAGTTAACTTTGTAGTCATTCTAGGCAGATGGGGACAGTGTTTTGGTTTATTTACTGCTATTTTCCACTGGTCTGCTCTGCTCTGCTTTTCCAGCAGACATGGAGGCACTGGCTATGATCCCTTTGCTCCTAGGTTCAGTAGACTACAGTTTCCCTTTTCTTTTTATAAACTGCCTGAGAGATCTGAAATGGTTTCATGCAGGTCTTTCTATGGGAAAACACCCATAGCACATCTCAAGGCAGTATTGGGGGTAGTCTTATATCTTGCTTCTTTGTAAAGGTATTCCCTCCTGCCCCCTCCATGGTCTCGCAGACATGCTTCTGAACTCTAACCCTTGAAAGCCTCTGCTCCCTTGCCCTCATGCCCTAGTTCACCTCTCTCTGATCAGAATGACAGCACTCTGCAGTCACTGAAACAATGACACAAGGTGCAATATGAGAGAGAGTTGGGTTTCCTCATGGATCCCTCATTGAGTAATATCTGATTCTTCATTCCTACATGGCAACTAGTAAAGATGGAAACTTGACGGTGGGTGAACCTGTACAGTGTTCTTCATGTTAAAATTGATGTTCCCCAGTTTGAGGCCTGAAACAGCTCTCAGCAAGCACACTAGTAATTGTGCATTTTGTGACTTAGATGCAGTATCTACTCCTTGGAACAGAGATGGCAGTGGAAATCAACTGAGGACTATGACCTACACTGTTACGATTAATAATCCACTCTGTGGCAAGTTCACAACAGCAACAGAAAAGCAGGTAGTGTGTGTGAGAGTATGTCTCTATGACACTATTGTCTTCACAAACTAAGGGGAAGCTTCACCTCAGAATCTGCTAACTGTACTGCAGAATTTAAGAATTTGAATGTTGTTCATGAGTTACATTTGGTATTTATGAAGCAGAAATGTCATCCTTTCTCATCTTAAATAATCAGCACTTTAGTAATGCCTTCCATCTTCACAGAAGGTTATGCCCCCTCCATTCTACCTCCGTCCTGTAGGAATAGGCAGTGATATTATTTATGGGTGAAGAAGCTATGGTTACAGGGAAGTGACTTCATGAATTGCTTTAACAGTGAGTTAGAGGCAGTCAGGGTTAGAATTTAGGAAAGAG